AAGATTATCTACATCAACATGCCGAAAATATGACTCTAATTCCAAGTATATGTAAAATATCAGAAATATCAGCGCTGATATCCTGATATAGTGCTAGTTACCTAGCCGCTAGCACTTTCTGAAAATAAGTTTGGCGATGATATGACATTATAATGTCTGATATATTTTATATACACTTGAAATACAGCCTTTTGCAAAAATTATGAGAATTGTCTAAATATCTAAATATCATAATATCCATATCCATATATTGTCTGGAACACGAGGGTTTGCTAGAATAATTCATTGTTGACATCGAGAAATTGTTCAGAACTACGGATAAGTCTGTCGCCAAAAAAAAACTAAACTACAAAGACAAGGGACTAAGGGCATCGCACAGGATTACCCATTATACACTCGATATTATGATATTTAGGTATTTCAACAATTCTCATAATTTTTGCAAAAGGCTGTATGAGTCTAGCCTCCTCCACAGGCAACTCTTTTTTCCTCCTTTGGGCTTACTTTGTAACGGTCATTTTGGCCGTTAGGGACTAGTGACGAGATAGCACTTTTCTCGCCCCCATTCTCCCTCTTTTGATTCCTCAAAAAGACAGGAAGCCCGTGATTCTTAGTGATGCCTGCGGAGGAGGCTAGTATGAGTCAAAAAGATAATAATAAAAAAACAACAGCAATATGATATTGCTGTTGTTTTTTTATAATAATAATCACATATGACGTCAATTAATCTTAGTACGCTTTGACTGGTCAGTGCACGCGCTCTGTTGTCTTCGTTCAACAGTTTTAATGAAATTAAATGAATGGAATTAGGTTTTTGATAATTCTTACTGTCGAGAAGTTCAACAAATGATACAGAGTCATTTCCTTGAGAATCTGGCGTTGGATTGTTTTCGATTTTCATTTTTAACGGCATCAACGCGGCCTACAAAAATACAACACCATACACATTTAGTACTTAGAGCTTAAGAATAAAAACGAATTCATGAAGAAAATAAATATTCATTGAACGTAAGAGATACATTGCAAAATATTGATTGAGAAACGTTTGGTTCTGAATGAAGACTATACTTTGTTTGTGTGTGTGTGTGTAAATATCTTTTCACCTCATTGACTTACAAATTTTGTATAGTTTTTTAACCATCCGGGCTGTCCCTCTTTACTGAGTAGCTCAAGGTGCATTTCTTCCTTCTCCCTCTCCGAAGGCTCTTAGGTAAAAAAATAATTCAGTTCAGCAATTGAGGCCAAACATTTTAGTAAATCTTAGTAAATATCTTGTGCAACAATTCGAGAGACTAAGGATGGATTTAGATCCCCACAAAACCCATTTTTTACTTGACAAGACAATTTTGGTACTGCTGTTTATAAAGTGAAATAGGAGTTCCTCACTGCTGTCTAGGCCTAGTAAAAAGCACATGTTTAACGCATTTTTTTTTTTTTTTTTGACGACTTTATTGGGAATAGACTAATGACAATATGAACAATATGAAGAACAAAAATAAAATAAATAAATAAAGTCTATTGGCCCAAAGGGGGCAGCACGAACGAGACACGAGGTCCCATGCGAGGTGTTGCCCCGAAATAATTAAAAAATATATTACATATGAATTCGAAAGGTTACAATAGGAAATATTAAAAACAATAATTAAGTGGTGCGATGGCATCCGCACGTGCGCACCATAGACCAGGTACATGGTAATTCAATGTCATAAGTAGAGTTGAGTTCATTTTCCAAAATTTTCTTTAAGTACAGTTTGAAAGTGCTCATGCTACAGAAGTCATCTTTAGAAGCAGATTTACAGATTAAGTTCCATATACATTAGCACAGCTGTGTTTTTCGATGGAAAGGGTTTATTAGTGACTGCATTTCCTATTCTAATTTTGTATCTGCTGGTTATTTTTCAGCCTTTTGAGCAGTGTTTGAAGTCAAATCTTACGATTTACGAAACTTTGAATTTTCAAAAGAATTAAAGGTTTAAACGGACGGATTGAAACGGATTGTTTAACTAGTTTAGTATAAGCTTAGTCAAAAACATAGCAGACCAGAACAGGTAAGAACAGAGCAGAGCTACGCTCTTATGCGATTATTCTTTTCAGTGTGTGGTATTTATAATGCAAACAAATAGATTATTTGAAAAATTCCCGTACCTTGCTGTTCGCCTTCTTCGGGCTTGATCTACAACATAATAAAAGAAGATTAGCGCGCGAGTAAAGATATTAGGATATCGAAAAGAAATACAGGCGTTTAGTTTAGACTGCGCAAAGAAAACGTGAATGCGTACAATCTCTGATCAAAATTGCTTAATATTAAAATCAAGAACAACCAAAACCGATCTTGAACTCTAAGCGAAAAAACACAGAGAGATTCCTGATTTTTGTTAGTTTGTTTATGTCAGATTTGTTTTGTTTTTGTTATTGTTGTTTTTTTCACACAGTTTATCAAATAGCGCAATTAAAAGTTATATTCGTTTACTGTAAATGTCCTTTCTTACCGGGGTGGTTTCATTGTTCGCCATCACGAAACAAGCAACAGTCAGTAAGACCAACAAGGGAAGAAGCCTAACGCCTTCCATTTTACCTACAAAAAAAATATAACTAAAAAAAAAGTGATTGTGAAATCATTATGTAACTATGAAAAAGTTTGGTTCTCTTTATACTTTTAATAATCAAGCAATTTTTTATGCAGTTAGTTTTTTTGGCACTTTTATATGCTAAATCTTTTGTTTTATTAGGCTCCCATACAGATCAAAAATTACGGAAAACATTCAAGCTAATTATAAAAAGACTGAAGGAAAAATAAATCAAATTGATAATAGAGTAATGCCAGTAAATCCGTGAAACAAAAACTTGACCATTAAAGTGTGATAATCAAATAGACACAAAAAAAAACAATGCAATTAGAGCGTACTAAGGTGTATTTAGTAAAATATCTATTTCACGGATGTTTAGTGAAATAGTCAAATTTTGTTTTACGGGTTTGATATGAAACATGCCTTGTTACCTTTGACAATTATGTGCAGCAGAACCAACACTGTCAATGACGGAATGTCATCTGAATTAACCTTGAATTGTTCCTGAACATTTATCAATTATCCGATCTCCTACGCGCAAGTCAAACCTGCTTGGATGCTTGCAATCGGTCAGGCGTAGATAAAATGCACTAATTGAACAATGACTTCATCTTGTAACGATTAATCACTTAGCTTGTATTACTCAATTTACTCAGTGCCCAAACACACGTGAAATAGATATTACACTAGATTGATCTAATTGCATTGTCTTTTGTGTCTTGAGTGCATTTTGATATCCACGAAACATTTTGTAAGAAAAGCAGAGTCATTTTCATCCGTCTGTGAAACAATTACTACTAGTCAGTGTTTAATAGTAACTATTAGGGTGTAGTAGGCTACCAAAAGGCAAAATCAAAACCGTATTTGCCTAATTTGTTTGTCGCCTGTCATAAGTTGAACTATTGGGAGCTAGGGGGTAATAGTATTTAATAGTACAATTCCTATTTCACAGACGGATGTAAATGACTCAACTCTACTCCATTGACTCAGAGTCAAATCAGAAATAGATATTACACTAGACTAGATTGCTCTAACTGCACTGTCTTTTGTTTCTTGAGTTCAATAGATGTCAGCGAAACTTTTTTTAAAAATTGCACAAAATTGCACTTATCATCAATAGCAGACAAAGGATTTCACACTAATTTGCCTAATGTATTGTGCAAACCATTTCATAATTGAGTAGTCAAACTATTCACGGATTTAATGGATTCACTGGGGCTGAAAGGATTGATACTCTATTCATCAACGACCTCAACCAAGAATTTAATATTCCCATAAACCAAAAAAATCCTAAAAACATTCTTTTTAGTTTTTTTTTTTTTTAATTTATAACTTAAAAAAGGGCATTATGCTCAGTTTAAAATGGTTTTGGTTATCGTCTTTGTGTGAGCAGAACCAGTTCTTAATGCATGACTGACATACCGGTAAAATTTGAGTAGTTTGATTTGTCATATTTTAAATTTTAAACTTGTACAAAGATTTGTGCAAAATGGTATGATCTTAAAATTCATCTCTAAGATCGGGAAGCAAGGATGGCCGAGGGGTTAAAACGCCGGTCTATCACCGCTGTGGTCCTGGTTCATGGGATTGGAGCTTTATTTGAGTATTAGGGGCTAAAATGGAAAGGGTTCGGAAAAAGCTTCAGCCGCCATTTTGTGATGGAAATGATATTACCAAAACTGGTAATGTTCCGGACTGGTCACTGCAAGATAGCTAGACAACTCTCCACGTATAATTTGTGTGCCTCAAGGGCCGTTGTACTAAGACTGGATAGTGTTATCCACCGGGTAATCAGCTCCTTTGAAGGCTTTTATGAAGTTAATTAAGTTAAGAGATATTTTTAATGTTGCTTCAACTGAGTAAACGCATCTCCTGTCCCCTCCAGACAATTCTGTCTGGATTTTATAGAGAATGTCTAAAGTGACTCCAGTTTATTATTTTATTTTATTTTTCGATTTTGTTTTATTTCATTTTTGTTTTTGTGTTTTGTTTTTGTGTTTTGTTTTGTTTTTGTTTTTTTGTTTTTTTTTTTGTTTTTTTTTTGTTTTTTTGTTTTTTTTTTGGACGACCAAACTAGAATTAAAGAAAAAACTGTGCGACGTATTCTATGCTAGCGATTTTATTTATATATTCATTTATTTTTTATCATTTTATAATTATTTTAATTTTATTTTATAATACGAATTTATTTCTCTTGAAATGCAAGGACTAAAAAGAGTTACGAGACAAGATGAGAGTATTTCTAGTGACTTTTATTAAACATTAAAGATTAAACAAACTTGATAATCACTCAATATAGCCTTAAGTTTTATCAGTGGAAGCCACATCTGCTATAGAGTGGTTTTCCGTCAACCATGAAAAGAAATAGACCAACTAGTTAGTAGCAATGAGTACTAGACTAGTCAATATAACTTTTAGACATATAAACTATAACCGAATAGCTAACAAATAGTTTGAATAAATTAAACGTTTTGTTTATTTAGTTACCATAACAAAATGACCATTAAAATAAATAAAACTTGTTTTTGTGATGAATATGTTGATACCTATCAATCGGATACAGGTCTACTCTAGACTAGACTATTAGTATTGGCCTATTACAAACTACTACTAATTATTAGATTTATTGTTCTTTCATGTTTGACGGAAAACCACCCTGTTCATAATTGTCTGTTCAGGATAACATGCCTGCAAAGTTTACAAGAAAATAAGTGTTAGTTTGAAGTTGATATATGAGATCCACTCTATATAGCTATAGCTCTTGTTCGACGGATGAAATCTGGCGACCATGAATAACTGTATACATTTGATTCGAGAACAGTCGGAAGTTCTCTCTAAAATAATTGGATGGAAGCCGAAATAAGATCCGGGAGGGGGGAGGGAAGGGGGAGAAACCGAAACAATATTGCAGGTTATTTACTGGTTCCTGTTATGGTTGAAATTTCACCACTTCTAAGCCCATCATCGCACGATGGAAGCCCGTTTCAGCGGTCATTTTCGGAAGTTTTCGTGGAGGACCCCGCACCCCATATTGTATAAATTCCTCTCCTTGGCGAAAGATCAATGTGCTTAACGATAACTTGCGAAATGAGAATCTGCATTTTCACAGCAGTCGTTGACCATTATATACTCCAATTGCCATTTAATTCCCATTTTCACATAAGTGTTATCTTTTTGTACTAATCTGACTTACAACACCGACTTACACAATTCCATTTTGTCGTTATGGACCTTTCAGCAATTCAAGTTTTCTAGAGAAAAAAGATAGTTATTGAAGTAGGCTTGTGTTGAAATATGTTTGAACTGGGGAACACACTGGAAAACTTGCATACCACGTGTATAATTCAATGGAACAATCTGCCTGCCTCTATGTTCAATAATCTGTCCTCACTGACTGTTTTTAAAGAAAAATTAATCTGTTTAAATCTTCACCTCCCTGTAAACTAAATTTGTTATACTGACCACCCAGCCATTAATCCTCGTTTGTGAGGGGCAGGCTGTATTGGTAAATAAATAAATAAAATAAATAAAGTTATGGAAAATATCTTGTAAAATTCACCTGTAAACGTCCTGTTCACATGCATGAAATCGAGTTATCCTCCCCACGTCAAAATTTATCACCAATTCTTTTTCAAGTTTTTGGGAATTTTATGTGCTCACATTTGGCCCATAGCAATGCAGACGTTGTCCCATACCTTTCTCAGCTTCCAGTATTTTTTGCCATTTGAAGGAAGAAGCTGTCCGACTGCTATGTTAAGCCTGTGCAAGAAATACTGTCGTACTTTACATTTCACCCTTAGATGGTAATTACACATTTTACTTTTTGTCTCACCGCATCCCCATTTGCTTCGAATGCTGAAAAAAAGAAATAAAACTTGCCAAGTAAGACTGGAAAGAAAAACAAGCGAGAAAAGTCAGAGCAAAAAATAATTTTTAATGTTTTATGTTAAATTTGCTAGAAAAGTTTGGAAGAACCGATAATTGAAATAGAAACCGAGAGAAAAAAGGACACATTATGGAGCAATTTCAAATTATTAATGTCCCGATATATATTTATGTCCTACAGTAGATGGAGAGAATAAATTGAAATGCGAACGCAGCCTACTACTGGAAAAGAAGCCAGAAAAAAAATCTGACTTTGAACGGGATTCAATAGTTCAATAGTCCCCTTCACGGTTACGTGCGCCATATTGAAAGGTAGCCATGCCTTTGCATCGCAGCGAGACAACCGTTGAGCGTGCAATGATAGATTCTTGTGAATAATTGTCTCTAGGTGTGAAAGAAGATTTCCATCATTGCACGCTCAACGGTCGTCTCGCTTCGATGCAAAGGCGCGGCTACCTTTCAAGATGGCGCCCGTAACCGTGTGAAGGGAACTATTTGTGCACTGAGCCATCTTGGGCGGAGAAAGCAGGTTTGGGGGCAGCATGTGACGATAGGTCTTTAAAAATTACAATATCCCTAATTTAAGAATGAGAACTAATTGCCTAAAATACAATTCAATCATGTTTGGTTGGATGTCTATTACTAGCACAGGCACTTGGAATATAAATATAATATAACTTACGATCTCCAATTGTTTCCCAATATTTCCCACAAAACGGGCTTTTCCGACGAAATGTGCACAAATGCCTCGTCACCATCCATTGACCATGACAGCCAATCGTCACAATGATCATCCTTCTCTTTACATTTATACTTGTTCACAATGCTGTAAGTGTTGTTTCCGTGTGGTACAAGTTTCCAATAGCAGTTTTTATTGCTGTGTTCCCCAACTGTAGTGTAAGGATTGCCATTAATTCTAAACCTATCATATCTTTGGCTCCAACGCAGATCTTTAAAGACGTTCCATAAGTGTATCTTAAGGCAATACAGGCCAGTCATTGAACGATTGTATTTGCCTAAATCCAACATCTTCGTTGAATAGGCGTCAGTTGTAGTACTGACATCTGGATCAAAGTATGGAAGGACATTGCTATCGTAATCAACGGTGTAGAGCTTTTTGAATAGCAATTGTGTCGTGTTCCTGAAGGCATTGCGGTGTTCTTTCAGTCCATTAACGTCATTTTGCCACTCTGGGGTGGACGGTGTCATCGATATAAGCTGTGTTAGGATCATGTCTCGGATTGTTGCCAGTCTTGCGTACAGCTCACAGTATTTGATGCATTTTTGTCCATCGGCAGCTTTGTTATTCCTGAAAATCTTTCGAATAACACTGGCCAGCTCTCCCATGAACTGCGAGCCTTGCCTTATAGGGACACGATCTCCAAGTACTTGCATCTCATTGTTACTCAATGGTTTACCGGACTCTGCGGCTCCGTTTAAATACGCTTGAGACTCTTTAAATGCTTGAACCAAGCCTTCTGCCTTTGCAGTGAGATCTGCCTCGCGATATTCTGCTAGAGCTTCGTTTATCTGTTCTCTGACAATCTCAGCCATTGATTTTTCTTTTTTCTTTGAACCTTTACCAAACAAGCCCAGAAGAGCAGAAACAAAACCCAGTCCCAAACTTATCAGCTGTCCTTTTGGTCCAAAATTACTGGCTATGGAGGCAACGATGTCAACCGCTCCCTGAATTGCTCCCACAGGATCTTCTCCAGCATTGCCAAACTTCTGAATGTTTTTGGATATAACGCCCATCGTGGCTATTACATCTTTTCTCTCATCATGAGTTTTATCTTTCCATTTTGTGTTCACCTCTGATATTTGCTTTTTAACACGATCTGCCAAGCGACCAGTGAACGGCACCAATTTTTTTTTAACTTCGTTAATGAGCTTAGTAGGAACAGGAATAGCAGGATCTGAATTTAAACACATAAACTGCAGTTGAATAAATTGCATCTATAGCCAATAACGCGTAATACAAGGTGAAGTCTAAGTCAAGGATTATAAAAATAATGAACAAATAGTATACACATAAATAAAAATTAATCGTCAATTAATGAAATTTTTCTTTAGTAAAGCGGAGTTACTTGAACCATGAAATAGAAACTAAATACTTAGTAACTAATATGCACTATTTAGACACTATCACTGAACTAGAACAGTACAAAGAGATTACTTTGATTGTTATAGTGGTCTCTTGGGCATTGCTTATTCGCTCAAGTAAACTGTTCTGACTCAGTGGAACTAATAGTTCATATTAGTTAGTACTTTTTAGTTTCTGTTCCATGGTTCAAGTTATTCTGCTCTAGTTAGTCAAGAAGTTTGCTCTTATTTCCATTAAAGGTACGAATCTACAATTGTAGCTTTCATTCGATATTTCAATTTATCTTTTCCCACTTTCTATCTGATTTCTGGAAGGCCAAAAGCTATAGATTTTGAAGATCTGTGTATCTGAGAACATGCGATCGTTTCTTTAGTTTTGTTGACCACAAAATCAATGATGATTTTTTCGTTGGAATATCGGGAATGGGGATGAACATGAGCCATTATATAAACTTTATTTTAATAAAGTTATTAATAAAGTTATTGATAAGTTTTATTTTACTTAAAAGTAAAACGTTTGAGCTTTGGATATTGCTAGCCATCTCCTCAGGCATCACAAAGAATCAAGGGCTTCTTATCTGTTTTGGAGTCAAAAGAAGGAGAATGGGGCAGAGAAAACTTTCTCATCACTAGTCCCTAGCGGCCAAGATGATCGTTACAAAGGAAGCCCAAGGAGGGAAAGAGTTGCCTGGGGAGAATGCTAGGATATTACCGCACCGGATGTATCGTTAAGTTCTTTCACTAGGTTAGAGTCTTTTTGTTCATTATTCTGTGATGTATTTTTCTCGTTTTCCTTTATTTTCAAAGGCATCTTCTTGGCCTACAATAATAGGAGGAAATTTCAATTGATGACAGTGATTTTAAGCATGTAGTTTTATTCTGTGCAATAAAAGATAATGATATTTATTTATAAATAATGGATGCAAGAAAGTTGAAAAATTTACTTTCAAAAATAGCCTTTTATTGATAATTCACTCAAGAGACTAGGTGGAAATCGTATTGGACAATGTTGCATCTTAAATTGGACAAAAACATTTTTGGGTTGTATGATCGATAAATTAATCCTTGACTTACCAGTTTCTTATATTTTTCAAACCAACCAGAAGTCCCTTCTTTTTCGAGAGCTTTAAGATGCAATTCTTCTTTCTCGCTCTCCGTAAGCCCTTGTATGAGAAGAAACCGATAATTTATTCAAGCTTTGTTCCAAACGGTATCGCAGTTAATATTTCAGAGCATTAGATAATTTGGAGTTCCTGCGTTGCTTCGAGCGTTTCAGTCTCTCTCCACAACGTCAGTATTAACAATTATAATTATAAGAGATATGTTACATAATCAAAGCAAAGATATTCATTAATTGAAATATTCAAGTACCTGACTGTTTCTTTTCCTCAGGCTTGTTGATGACATCGATGTATACAATATCAAGGGCAACAGGGATATATTAGGAAAATATAAGTACGTCTGATGGGCGGCCAGCTCTACCCTGGTTCCACTAGAGGGTTGTCTTTTATATCTTTTGTTACTATGTTATCGAGCCGCGAAGGTGCGAGACGTTTTCGTTAATCGGTTATTGTTTTAACGCCAAGTCTCTGGTCTCAAGCGTATGCTTTCACTTTCATGCAATACTTCAGCAAACCAATCACACACCAGAGTAATAAGATCTGTTATCTGTGATGAGTTCTTATTGGTTGGTTTATTAGACATGTTTGACAGCGAAAATACAGCATATAAAAGTGAGTTTCACTACGATTGAGACCAGAGACTTGGCGTAAAAACCAACCGATTAACGGAAACATCTGGGCGCTTTGCGTCTCGTTAACATAGTAAGCAAAAGGATAAAAGACAACTAAGTCTCTGGAACCAGTGTAGGCCAGCTCCAGCACATGTGTTTATTTGATATACATGTACGTGGATTTCATTAACTTCTAATATGTCCTTTTATTATATAGATGATTTCTAACGCGCGCACTCTGATTGGCCAAAAAAGTGTGGTTTATGAGAGTATAAACCACGATTGTGCGCGAGTGATTTTTGAAAAAGGCAACAAAATGGATTTTTGCTTAAGTTTTGCTCAAAATCTATATAATAAAACAAATAAATAAGTCTCAGCCTGTGGTTTATACTCTGATAAATGCATGCTTGGCATTTGAAACACACTCAAAAATGTCCAAAAGCGCTCGCTTTCAGCTCGTGCTTCTTGACATTTTCTGGTGAGTTTCAAATACCAAGCGTGCGTTTATCAGAGTATAAACGACGGCTGAGCCGCATTTATCTATTAAATAAATATAGTGAACAAACCAACATTCTGATTGGCTACTTAAATATATAGTGTATTCATGATAAACTATGGTGGCCGGCATCGAATGATGAAAAATAGTTCAAAAACTCATACATAATTAATAAGTTATTAGGCCAATATAGAATGAGCCTATAATTCTTCACATGCATGGACCTTAATATCTGATAAAACACTCCTTATTAGTATTCTTTATATAAAGAATACTAAAAAGGGTGACCTTTATCAGATATACTAAGGTCCATGAACCTAGCAAAGGTCTCAGGTTTGATACCTGATCATTGACCAATGCAGGATGCCAACCGATTGCAGTACTGAAACAGCCAACAGCGATTCTATTTTACTTTATATGTGTATTCAATGTGGGATGACAAGAGTGCTTTGTAAAGTGATTCGCACATGATCAGTTTGCCCCATTCCCTCAAAATTTATTTTTACGGCAATTTCTCCAAGAAATTTAACCTATTTGAGTCTCAAATTAGTGTTGGAGTTTTTGAAGCCGTTTAAAACACTCGAGATCGTGTTTTAAACTATACTCGAAAGACTATGCCAGGAAAAAGACTTC